TTTAGATGTCTCTTTGTGTTAGAAAAAGTATTTTAATGAAAAATACATGAAAAAAATTACTTCAAGTGAACTTCAACATTACAGTTCTGAAACATGGAAAGCTCTAACATGAAAAATGAATTTTCACACAAAAACTCACAATCGCAGAAGGTGTCATTTCTGATTTCAGAAACATTTTAATGCTTTTTAAACGTCAAGACTACATCTGCCCTGAAGCCCAGTCTAAACCTATTAATTCTCAGATTTTTTCCTTAGACATTGTGTAATTTGAACATACTGTACAAATGTCTGCAATTTTAAGTGTATTTTTAATGTAAAGATGACAACTTTAGTGACCAGTGGGCACATATCTCTATATAGAAAATATTGGAAAGATTACGGTAATGAGAGGTTCGCCCACCAGTTGTCAGGTGCATTCCTGAGTAAACACCTAGAAATGGCAACATGAATTAAACTCCACCACATGACAAGCTGTCAAAAGTTGCTTCTAATATTATTTCCACTTCCAGTTGTTTTAAAAACATCTATATATAGTCACTCCAAAAAGAATGAAAGAAAATTCAACAGTTAATTTTTTCATGTCTATTTTCTTTTGTTATTCCACACCACAACAACCAGGATGTTTTACCATGAGAACATGAATGTTACCCTTTGAACCTTACATTGTACCGGAGACTAAAGACAAGTGGCCATCAACAAAAAGCCAAATCGCATTTAGGATAAGTAAGATTGTACAGAGAGGTTTGCAAACTCCAGATGAATCTAGAATAGATTTCAACTGAGGATACAGTATGAAGTGTTTCCACAGTGTGATTTGTCACCATGTGTTATATGGGTATCTGTATCAGAGAGAGTAGATGGAATATCTGTGGTTTGGGACTGTTGGGTCAGACTCATGTTACAATACATAGCTGAGGTTTGAAGTGTGGTTGAACAGTTCAACCATATCAGTGACTGAATTCTCTGATGGCTGTCGTCACATAATGCTTTGAGTCTGACTTCAGCTCCATCAAATACACACACAACACACAGTCAAGTCTATCTTTCTCAAGTATTTCACATCTACTGTTGTTAATGTAGGATAATTAGAGTTACAACAAATGAATCCTAACCTAATCTTATTATAACAGCATAAACCTTCCATAACATTAACCCTAACCAAACCCTACCCTAATCATAATTATATGTAACTATACTCTAGCCCTCAATCATAGGCACACACATTGCCATCATTTTCAATAGTACTGGTTAATGAAGGAGTGGTGGGGAATTAGAAGGTCACTGGGAAACTCAAAGGCTGTCAGGTTCAAATCCGCTCAGTTTAATGCGCTCTGAGGGGCAGTCACCACTTTGAACTGAGTTGCAGCTGATCCGTTTCCATGCACTTCTTTATAATGCCAATCATGCATTTCAGCCGCAAACACACACGAGCAGGACTGAAGCCAATACTGTCACACAACCTCGCACATTCTCTCATGCACATGTCCCATCATCAAACATTCACTGTCAGACTCACTCTCTCCATCCCTGCTCTCAATAGCAGTTCTCTATGATAAACAGTATCGGTTTAATTACATCATAGTTAGATAATAAAGAACTACTTACAAAGCACTAAATAATAACATAAGGGTTTAGATATAGAAATGGTTCTAAAAAGCACCAGGGTTCTTTGGCTTGTTACAGCAGCAGAACCTTCTCAAGTGCCAATTAGAACCCTGCTTTTTTAAGGTTCTATGAAGAACTAAAGAACCATTCAAGCAAAAAAGTTTCTTTACACTCTTAAAAATAAAGAGATGGTCCTCACTGCAGAACATCAGATCCAACTCCTCCCACCTTACATATACCTAAACCTACCCGTCTCCACCCCCTGATCCCTAAACCCAACCATCTCCACCCCCTAGATGTGGATCCAACCCCGCCCCCTGGATCTTTGTTCTGCAGTGAGGGGCTACTGAAAATAAAAGTTCTTCATTGGCATCTATGGAACCTTTCCATTGCATAAAATGTCCTTATAATGGCAAACAGTTTTTCAGATTATTAAAATGTTCTTCAAACTAAGAATAAAATGTCTTTTTTGAACGTACTGTGGTTCTTCTATAGCATTGCTGCACAAACAACCCTTTTGGAACCTTTATTTTTATGAGTGTTTATACTAGATTCTAAATAGAACTAATGAATTCATCAAAGAATCTTCTTTTTAGAATGTACCTGTAGATCTGGAGTTCCGAGTCACGTTTTATTGCTGTGATTCCTTGAGAGGTCACTCAGAGGTCAAAGGTCAAGCAGCAGGTCAGAGATCGGCCAAGCCTCAGAGCTCCAGATGTAGAGAAGCAGCGTGGATATCCATCAGAAGTACAAAATCTCTATCAAAACTTTCCTGAAGATTGTGCCGTGTGAGTCCAGCTCTGCAGAGACCAAACTGAAGCAGTCACGCTTTATGGCTCATAGTTCCCCAGTTTCACTCATTTATGTGGCATCCAGCTCGCATTCTGTTTCACTGAGTCCTTCCCGGTGAGTCTTTGAATCATCTTCTCTCTGATTTACTGAGACATCCCAGTGGCTCTCTAAAGAGAAGTGTGTGAGTGTGAAGAGAGCAGAAGAAAAATCATCAGTTACACACAAGTTACAGAAAGATTTATCTACACCTCTCTCTCTCTCTCCCTTCCTCTCTTTTGGTCTAGCACTCTCTGATACCTCCCCCAGAAGCCCACTGTTAATCAACCAGTCCTGAAAACATATTGTCTCTCTTTCTCTCTCTCCTCAGTTTCTCTGCCTCTCTCGCTCCCTGAATTGCAGCACTCAAGTTTGCATCCCTGGTTTAACCCCGTCCTTCTTGACTGCTGCAGTTAACATACTCAGTTTTCAGTGAAACATCTTGGTAAATATAGAAACTACTTCAATAAGCCCATGGGTTTGATCCAGATTATCATTTTATGCACATTTATATTGGTTTGATCAAAAAATGTGTGGGCTTGGTTTCTGGAACATTTTGGAAATTTTCACTGTGGCTTTATTGAGGTCCCGCCTGAAGGTTTTTTCTCGAGTGTCTTTCCAAATACAAAATGGTTTTATAAACAAGTTTGACAGCACATCAAGGCAAGACAAAGCAGATGTGTTATGTGGCCTAAAAAAGACAAAAGCTTTCAGATGCAAAATCATTAATATTTCACTCTACAGTTTATCATTTTAAGTTGAAATTTCTGTGCCATAAATCTTCATTTGGCTTGGGATTTTACACAGGACTGACTGTTCTCCTTTTGTTTTCTTTGCTTATTCTGTCATTCGTTCTCCCATTCTGTTGTTTGTGTGGTTTTGAACTCATCTCCATTTGACCACAATAAGAATAACATCCCTCTCTTGTTCCTTTTCTTCTCTCTCAAACGCACTCACACGCACAATCTGGATAACTAGTGTGGAGAACATAGGAAAACACCCAAAACGACATTTTACATACTGGTCGGAGGGACACACATATACACAAATATTCTGGTTGAAATTAAAGTAACTGAAATACTCAGATGTCATGTTAAATTCCTCACTGTATTGATAGCAGCAAACTAGACTGTTCTGTTCAGAGCTGACTGTTAGTGTTGGATGGGTTAGTCCGGACCTCAAGATTTAATGCTGTTCTCACCAAACTGACCAAATAATCAAACACAAACAGTAACTCAAAGCCTCTTAAAGAAAAAGACCTGGTGGATGGAGTCATTGCCCTCTAGTGGTTAAAAACGCAATAGCAACCCTATGGTTAGTATTTGGGCAGTCAACAACATGCAAGCATTTTTTTACAGTATTAATATATATATATATATATTTAAATGTTTTAATTCTTTCATTCATTCATTCATTCGAGTTAACACCTGGAACCCCCCCCCCAAAAAAAAGTTTAAAAATTAATTGAAACAATCATGTAGTATATGAAGTCAAAGCTGCTAGTATAAAAATGTTTATTAAAAATGTTAAAATAGTTTTAAACTGTTTTATTTATATGCAGATCAAAGTAGATAAAATAAACAAAAATGATCAGAATTACCATAAGCTAAAAAAAAAGTGTAGGACCAGCAATTTAATGTCTTTTTTTTAACAATTATTATTTGAATATGTATTATAATAACTATTTTTTAACAATAAAAGTAATAATAATTTATTATAAATGATTACTTAAAAAAATTTAATATAAATAAAATAATAAAAAAAATTAAAACATTTTTAACTTAAAATCAAGTCCTGCTCTCTGACCACTGTGTATGTAAATATAATGAATAATAAAATCGCCAACAAGTATCACCTAAATTCAAAGTATTCTGGAGTCGTACCTTTTGTTTTGGCCCTTATATTAGTCTGGAAAGTGACAGAACAAATGGGATGAGCACATGATGCAAAACTCACACCTGCGTTCCTTTGCTCTACCACTGCGTGACAGCTCTGACTAGTCATAAACAGTAGTACAGGTTGTACAGTGAAAGAGAAATCAGTGCATGACTTTCAGATAAAGGACTGACTTTAATACATCTTCAAGTAAAAGTGTTTACACATGGTATAAAAAAAATAAACGGAGGGAGCCAACAAAGAACCGACGAGACAGATTGCAAGACCAGTCGCTTTCAGATATATCCCATGCGACTTCACATGTGCGCTAAAGCAAACGTGTGCTAAATCCTTTATAGTGCAATAAAATCAATGCAAAAAGAGATGAAAGGTGAGAAGGAAGAGATCATCTCTGTGTCTAAAGCTTCTCGATTTTACACAATGTGCCTACGCTGTTATATTTAACTGTGGTTATGACTTTAAATTTTCTGCTTTTGACATCATTTGATCGGTCTACAGTTGGAGACAGTCCTGACAGACAGAAGAGGAGAAGATAATTTTCCTCTTTTGAAAGACATTGCTGCATTTCCCAAATATTAGAAGTCCATGTCTATTTCCATGTTCATGGTTCTCTGATGTTGGTTATTGGTCACATGACATGCATACAAATAGATAAAATATTAGAAGTCCATGTCTAACTGTCTTAAAGACTGAAACTAGCAAGTAGCAAGTAGAAACTGATGTAAAAATTCAGTCTCTTGGACATGCATGTGATTTGGTCTGATGTCCAGGCCAGGGTATTTGCGATCTGGACCAATCAGACGACAGAGATGAAGATGACAGCGTCCTCATCCTTGGTGGATTGTTTGAGGCTCAGCAAGATTGGACGACAGCAGGCAGCCTCTTCGGTATCAGAGATTTTCCCTGAAATACAAGACAAATGAGAAACAAAGAGAAAGACAAATGATTTTAAATGGAAATGGGCAGTAACAACAATAGACAAAACAGAAAATGACTCCTTTCAGTGGGTCATTTACACAAATCTGTATCCTTACAGGAGCGTTATTTTAACACTGATGCCTCATGACAACACACACAAAACAAACAACTTGAATTTCAGAGGGGTTGCATTACACGGAAAGTTCACCCAAAAATGAAAATTGTTATCATTTATGCACTGTCATGTTATTATGAAAATATAATAAATTAAATATTATACTTTGGTCTGTTTCATATTTGAATCCATATCTGTTCAATATTTTTAAAAGTTTGGAGTTGGTAGGAGTTTTTTTTAAGTCTCTTATGCTCACCAAGGCTGGATTTATTTGATCAAAAATACAGTAAAAACAGTAACATTTTGAAATATTATTACATTTTAAAATAACAATTTACTATTTTGATACACTACCAGCCAAAAGTTTTTGAACAGTAATAAGATTTTTAATGTTTTTAAATAAGTCTCTTCTGCTCACCAAGCTTTTATTTGATATGAAGTACAGCAAAACAGTAAAATTCTAAAATATTTTTACTATTTAAAATAACTGTTTTCTATTTGAATATATTTTAAAATGTAATTTATTCCTGTGATTTCAAAGCTGAATTTTTAGCATCAGTCACATGATCCTTCACAAATCATTCTAATATTCTAATATTTGCTGCTCAAAAAAAACAAACATTATAAATGTCTTTATCATCACTTTTCAAAAAAGTTGAATTTTGATCAATTCAAAGTATCCTTGCTAAATAAAATTATTAATTTCTATAATTTCTTTTAAAAAATTCTATTGACTCCAAGCTTTTGAATCGTATAGTGTATAATGTTACAAAAGCTTTTTATTTTAGATAAATGCTGATCTTTGGATCTTTCTATTCATCAAAGAAATCCTATTTCACCAAGAAATCCTGAAAAAAATGTACTATTAGAATGATTTCTGAAGATCATGTGACACTGAAGACTGGAGTAATGATGCTGAAAATTTAGCTTTGATCACAGGAATAAATTACATTTTATAATATATTCAAATAGAAAGCAGTTATTTTAAATAGTAAAACTATTTCACAATATTACTGCTTTTGCTGTATTTTGGATCAAATAAATGCAGGCTTGGTGAGCAGAAGAGTATTCTTTAAAAAAAACATTAAAAATCTTACTGTTCAAAACCTTTTGACTGGTATTGTATATTTTAAAATGTAACTTATTTCTGTGATGGTAAAGCTGAATTTCCAGCACTCTAGTCTTTAGTGATCCTTCAGAGAAATCACTCTGATATTCTAATTTGGTTCTCAGAAAGCATTTTTATTATCACTGTTGAAAACAGTTGTGCTGCTTAATATTTTTGTGCAAACCTTGATACGAAAACAAAAACAAATTGGTAGAGTACAGTATAAAACAGACTTGGAATATCTCACAGTCATATGGATGACTTATGTGAATAACTTCGTGTTAGTTTTGGAGCTCAATCTCCTCATTCACTTTAATTGTATGGAAAACAGCAGCTTGGACATTCTGCCAAACATCTCCATTTGTGTTGTATGGAAGAAAGAAATCTCTATTTTCATTTTTGGGTGATCTACTCCTTCAACAGAAACATCACATGTATCCTCGGCTACTCAAACAAACATGAACAGGAGCTACACATACAGGTAGAGGAAAAGCAGGGTTACCTGGAAGCAATGCCTTCCTTCAAAACAAGTTCTTACATTTCTGTGGACAAGATAGAGAAAAGTGAACAGGTACACATTTTGGCAGCTGTTGCAGCAAGAGACCAAAATGCAAAGTCATGCAGAGAGTGACAAACCACAAGTAAACACTCAAGTTATCCCTGTTGGAACTGTCATGACAACATGATTTAACGTGACATTACAAGCTTTGAGGACAGGACAAAGCACCAGACAAGCTTCATCTGACCAGAGCTGCTGTCTGATTGGTAAGGTAAGCCATCATTAAGGGGGCGGGGCCACTACCACTTACCACATTACGAGTGAACTTTTCAAATGAGGTTCTGCGATCCTGTATGCTTCCCAACTTTAGTCAACGAGATGAAGAGTGAAAAAAGGGACTACAGCATGGTGCATATAGGTTTTTATTAAGTATAATTAATATGCCCATCTATTAGTGTCAATTCAAATTAATCAGATTTATCAGAATTAATCACTTTCTTGAACTGCTGAATCACGGATTCATTTTAAAACAAGAGATTTTGGTTTCTAACAAATGTAATATTTCCCCAAATAATACAACATTATAATACTTCCGTTTTACTGCTGTTATTAAAATAACATTATAATCATAACAACTAACCCACATCATCCTATCCTACCCTAATCCCAAAATAAACTTTTTGTTATTCTAGAAAGTGTGTTCTTGCATTTAAAAACAGTCGGACAAAAGAGTGGAAAATAATGCAGGGCCTCAACACACATTTTTTAAAGTTGAGCTATTTTTCAATTAGGGCCCTAAAAACACGGCTCTAATAACATGTTCAATGCCATGCAAATAAAACAAAGAAACAATACACTGACTCCTATGTTCAATGATTTACAAAAATAATATGCCGGATTTGGGTCTTTTCTCAGCAAATACTTTTATATACGATTAATTTAAAGCATTATTGAAAGATAACTTCACATACACTACTGTTCAAAAGTTCAGTCAGTCAGATAAAAAAAAAGAATACGTTTATTCCGCAAGGACACATAACATTGACAGTAAAAGTGACATTCAAATGAATTTCAAATAAATGCTGTACTTTTGAACTTTCTATTCATCAAAGTATTTGTACTTTATTTTCCCCACAAAAATATTGAGCAGCAACTGTTCTCAACATCGATAAGAAATGATTTTGAGCAACAAATCAGCATATTAGAATGATTTATGAAGAATCATGTGACACTGAAGAGTAATGGAGTAACTAAAGTAATGGCTGCTGAAAATTCAGCAGCAGGATTCAAATTCATATCACAGGATTAAATTTTTTTTTTGGGGGGGATTTTTAGGATTCTGAAAATTCATATCACAGGATAAAATTACATTTCTAAATATATTAAAATAGAAACGTTATTTTAAATTGTAATAATATTTCACAATATTACTGTTTTTACTATTTAAAAAAATGCAGTTTTTGTGAGACACCTTTAAAAAATATCTACAATTTTACCGACCCCCAACTTTTGAACAGTAGTATATCTGTATCAGGGCATTTTTAATGTATTCAAGATGAGTTACTCTGTACTGATTATGACTGTACGTCAGATTGCTTCAAATGTTTTACCTTTTTCTTAGCCTGCAGAAGCTCCTGGTAGGCACTGGATCTAATAAAACGGCTGTAAGAGTCACTCTTCATCAGCTTATAGATGTGTTCCTGGGACACACACATTTACAGTTCATTTGCATGTTCATAAACTAAATTGTATGGCTTATTTTCATAAATTTTCATAAAAAAAATCAGTGTAGCTGCTCAAAAACATAAGCTCCTCACCTGTGCATCCTCAAAAGCGTATCGTCCGGGGTCTTTGACGTTCTGTGTGGTTTTGTCGTAGCTCTTCGAGTCAACGTTGATGGCACTGGGGGCTCCAGGAGCCAAAAACTCCTCCCAGATCTCCTGCACCCGTGTTGGCACCTCACGGATTGGCCTCCTCTTTAACTCCTGCACCGCCAGCCAGAATCTGAGTTTTGGATAACAACAGAGAATGAATTAAGAATGAAAAAGTAGTTGCTCAGTGGATCTGAGGGTTTGTAGTACTGCTCACCCGCCAGCAGGGGGCATAAAGGGGAAGTGTACTGTAGGTGTACCTGAGGTTTTCCGAGCTAAATTCAGACTCCAGGAACTTGAGGAACTGCTCTCTCCCAACGGGATCTTTCAACACCTCGTCGATTCCAAAGCCCCAGCGTCTAACTCTAGTCTGACCGGGTTCCTTACTGTTCACACATACACAACATATTATACAATACAGTACACATTTATCTGTAATACAATAATAATATTCACTGTGTGTGTCTGAAACAGACCTGGCCTCCATCTCCCAGAGCGTTGTGTCATCTGATATCCAGGGGTTGGATGGATCAGGAGTGGACAGGAAGGGGTCATAGTCTGAATACTGTTCAGTATAACTCAGCAAACTACAAGAAAATCACAAAAACCAAGTAAGGGATAAAAAGAGGAAAGAAGAGAGGTAGAAAAAGGAAGATAATTATTAGCATTAATTTATTTTTTACTTAATTTTTATTATTTTATTATTAAATATTAGTACATGAAATGATTAGATAGGTTACATACATTTCATATTTTTTTAAAAACATGGATATTACAGTGTACATTTAAGAAAACATTACGTAATCTAATTATATCTAGTAGACATAGCACACATTACTTTTAAGTAGTTACACCTCCAACACTGATGGACATTTTATATTTTGATCTATAACTCATTGTTGCAAGTCGGTTTCATTATACGTTGCACTAAAATCTTCAAGATGTTGTGGCATTCTAATAGAGCCATTGATCTCACAGAGGGAGTAAATTTGAGGACGAGAAACAGAAACATGTTTGTCAGCATGAGTAATATCTACAGAGACCATTAAAGAGGTCGATAAGAAAATGTTTAAGCACTGTAGAATAATGAAGACCTGTGGATCGATCACAGCACAGACTCTCTCTCTCTCTGACTTACCTCTCTGCAACTTTGGACATTTTCAATCGATGTCTGTCTAACTGTGCTTGCCAAAACTTGATCTGGGAAGACAATAGTGGTAATAGTCAAGGTGAGTGTATGTAGGTATGTGTGTGTGAAAACAGATGGCAAATGCAGCCATGGATGAACTAAACTTGGCAGTTTTCCACACAGCTGCCATAAAATACCCAGCAGTAGTTAGCTGGTTATCCAAGCTGGTTAGGCTGGTCAGTTCTGTAGGGTTTCAAATATTTTGACCACTTTTCTACAGTGGCCCTGCACATGCAATGTGGGAGGAAAACTAGATTTTGTGGCCATGAATTATAATTCGTTCCCACAAACAATTAAAAAGAATACAGTAGTTCACCCAAAAATGAAAATTTGCTGAAAATCTAGCCACTCTCAGGCCATCCAAGATGTAGATGATTTTTTGTCTTCATCATAACAGATTTAGAGAAATTTAGCGTTACATCACTTGCTCATGAATGGACTGCAGTGAATGGGTGCCATTAGAAGGGGAGTTCAAACTGATAAAAACATCACCATATTCCACATAACTCGAGGCCATTAATTAATGTTTTGTGATGTGAAAAGCGGAGTGTTTGAAAAAAATGCATCATTATTGTTTTAATAGTCTGTCCAATGTTGTCACTGACAACCACCAACAATCCACCAACATATTTATTTAGAACTGCTTATAAACTGTGCTTGATCTCTGCATATTTCTCTCCTGATTCAGAGGAGATTACTTTACTTTTTCACTGGAGAAAGTGATATTATGGACTTAAGGCAAATAACAATTTGAAGTTAAAAATGTAATTACAAATATGCAGCCATGTGAATTATTGTAATGCTTTAGTATCAGTTGTTTGGATTCTCATTCTGACGGCACCCATTCACTGCAGAGGATCTATTGTTGAGCAAGTGATGTATTGCTAAATTTCTCCAGATCTATTCTGATAAAGAAACAAACCCATCTACATCTTGGACGGCCTAAGAGTGTTATTTTCAGCAAGTATTTTATTTCATGGCCAAGAATTCCTTCCTTCATTTCAGTTAAATTAAAGCCACGCTGTACTAATATGTTCCATCAATTTAGTTAAATTGTGGATATGTTTTGCTATTTTGTTTCCTCATTTTAATGCAGCTAAATCGTGGTCATATATAACAAATGAAGTTGTGGGAATGAATTCTTAATTTATGGCTATGGTATCTTTTCCCCCCCTCTTGTCTGGGGCTCTGTACTTTTCGACCTCTCAACTGTCCACATAAACACCAACTCCAAATAAACCAACTGTATAAGTGACCTGAACAGAAAAAAATAACATACCTACAAATCGGTTTAAATACAAATCAATTTAAAAACAGATACAGAAAGCAAAACAGCATATCAAATATGTAAAGCAAGCATAAAAGTTTGACAAAGAAATTTGTCACTATGGTAACACAAATCCCTGTAATCTAGCAAAGAGTAAAAATTAAACTTGATCTGACATCAAGTTATCAAATAGAACACTCAAAAACTTAAATTCAAATACTCTGCCTATACAATCAGGTGTTACCTGTTCCCGAAGCTCTTCCTCGGTTGGTTGCTTGGCTTCAGGGGCGGGTGTGTGGGTGGGGCTATGGCTGCGAATGTCATTCTGAAGGCCGTACACAGACTGTGAAAATCATCAGAATAATTTACAACCATATTTAGATAAATTTAAAACAGGCTCAGATATCAGAGAGGAGATTTCTGTGTGATTGCATCAGTGATTGGGGATTTCACATGGGCAGCTGCGTGATTGCTGAGGTGAGCCGTTCTAGATTGCTAGGATTTGTGATTGGTGGATTGATTTAAGACTGATTCAGTATTCTGATTGGCTCAGTGGTTGATTGATTCATCAAATGCAGCCGCTCAATGGTATAATGAGTGGAATAACTGCTGCAGTGAATAATCACATGGTTTAGGATATTAAAACCTTGAGTAATTTGATTAAATGCTGGATTTCCTGCAGTGCTAGTGGGTTTTGTGTTACCTTTCTTGTTTTGTGAGGGTTCTTCATTCTGGATGATTTCTTTATGTCCACTTCTGTTGTGTTCACACACCCTGGCTGAAACACACACACATACACACACTTTGTCAATATAACTGTCAATTCTCTAGATGACCTATAGTTTATGGTTGCCAGGCAACCGTGTTGCTTTGACTGTAAACCACCTGACGCAGTGCACCTAACCAGCATACTCCCTCTTGTTTTGGGAAACTGAGATGATATTTAAAAAAAGGCATGGAACTGTCAATCAAATGGTTTCCTGCTGGTTAGACTCAATGTTTACACTCTCCAGTATAAGATGAACTTTAGATCCAGGCCTCTAATGTATGTTGGAGAGAGAACGAAAACTGCCTCAGGACACTTAGAGTTCTGCAATAAACCCCATTTGAACCTGTACTGGCTAAATATGAACAAGAACTGCAGCATCTCACTATTGCACATCAGCTTGAAAGATCGAGCCAAGTTAGCATGAAATTGCTAATGAGACGGATCAGCTCGGTGTAATTGAGGGAGAAATTGCTACTTCCTTCAAAACAAACAGCTCACAGTCACACAAGTCATAAAGCGATACACACCAGGTGATTCACATATATAGACACTCAAAACCACAAGGACTGGTGCAATAATAATACTGTAAAACATATTGTTTAATGACTATTTAACATTGAAATGTAATGAAATTGCACAGTAGCGCCATAAGTTACGCTACTGTTGTACTTGTAATAAAACTGTAGAAACAATGGGTAAAAACACGAATAGCTTTAGACTTTCTTGATTAGATCAATATAATAACTATATTATAATTTCTACATACTGTATATAAACTACAGGTTTTGAAACATACACATTTAAAAACTATAACTACCACAGATTAAATAAAAAACGAAGTACATTTATACATTTTCCTAAAGGTCACATATTTTACACCTTTCTGGAGTTTTATTTTAGGTTTTGATGTCCTTAAAGGGTTAGTTCACCCAAAAATGAAAATTAGCCCATAAATTACTCACCCTCAAGTCATCCTAGGTGTATATGACTTTCTTCTTTCAGACAAATCCAGTCGGAGTTATATAAAAAATTGTCTTTGATCTTTCAAGCTGTTTCATGGCACTCAGTGTTGCATGCATCAGTCCAAAAGCACTTAATTAAAATGCGCCCATCCTAATTTTCATTTTTGGGTGAATTAACCCTTTAAGAATATATATTTGCGGTATAAGTACCAAAAACCATCTCAATATATTTTTACAGCTCCTCTCTCAGGAGCTCTGCTGAGGACAGGTCCATTTTGGCCTGTCAAAATAATATTCATGAGCCTCTCTTCTGATTGGCCTGTTGTTTTCTGAGTGACGCACGGCCAGGCCAACCACAGGTAACTAGGGTCAGCCAACGTCACAGCGCTAGCTGGAGGCAGCAAAACAAAGAGGAAACTGGAGGCGGCCCATTCAAATCAGCGCAGATTCGGCTACATAAGGAGCTTAAAATATCATCTTCTTATGATGTTGGGTGCCAGAATCGACGTAATACAGCCTCAAATTAGAAATTTGATCGCATATCTGCTGCCACTGCCAGACAAAAAACCAACGACAGCTGTGGTTAAACGCGATAAAACGAGCAGACTGGACAGAAACGATCGTCAAAAAAGCTGGCGTTTGCAGCGCACACTTCTTATCAGAAAAGGTTCAATAAAGTATTGTCTTTTGTTGTTATGGGCGCGTCTACAGATTCCTTGCCATATGTCTATGTTTCTTGCATCTCACGACTATGTCGTGTATGAAATAATGTCTGTGCATGTGT